TACTGCAGGATCTTGACATATAACATGAATAATTAATTAGTAAATTAGCATAGTGCAGGATCTTGACATGTAACATAAATAATTAATTAGTAAATTAGCACAGTGCAGGATCTTGACGTATAACATAAATAATTAGTTAGTAAATTAGCATAGTGCAGGATCTTGACGTATAACATGAATAATTAATTAGTAAATTAGCATAGTGCAGGATCTTGACATGTAACATCAATAATTAATTAGTAAATTAGCATATTAGATTTATATGACAATATCAATACAGAGAGTTACAGACATACAGACAGACAGACAGAAAATAGGACAATTCTACACACCAGGGTTTCTCATTGGAGTGCTGCTTTTCCTCTTTTTGTGCTCTTTGTCAAAGAGTGCCAGACCTTTATGATATGTCATACTACTGTGTCCACATTTCTTCATGTGTTCTCGAAGCGAGGCTTTTTGCTTATACCCAGTACTACACAATTCACAGACGTATCGTTTGTCCTCTGTATGTGTTACCATATGAGCCAGCAGTGCATCTCGTCGTCTTGCTTCATATGGGCATACGCTACATTTAAAAGGTTTTTCATTGGTGTGAGTTTTATAGTGACGAGTCAAGTTACCCTTCTGTGTGAAAGCAAATCCGCAAATATCGCAGATGTAAGGTCTATCTCCTGCAAATTTAACACAAAAAGGTTTTGGAACAAAATACAAGGTTAAATGAATCTAGGCTGTATTTACAATCATTTTCTGAAAGCAGTGAATGTTTTTATCGTGAATTTCTAAAACATTCAAATCCAGTTTTCATCAGCTAGAAAAGTCTTTTGGTAATGCTTTTTCTCAATCACAGACCATCAAAAAACTTCAAATTAAACATTTTTTGGAGCAATATATTGCAATTGACCAATGTCCGCTCACTGTGAGAATCGCATGTTATGCGTGAAATTGAACGTAAAAACAGAATAAACAAAGGTCATAGCGTCGTAGTGGCGTCAACATCGCGTGGGATTCGACAAACGTGAAAGTATTTTGGGGATATTTCCATCCTTAATAAATGTGCTGTACACATTTGATGATAGGCAATTTCGATGAAGTAAGGGTATTCGAAAGCAATATTCCTCTGTAAAAGATCGGCTGGGCGATGTGAGCTAGAAATAAAGAAATTAGAGTTCAAAATCAAATCGTTTGATTTTTGCGACAGACTTTCGATGCGCGTCTTTCATGCAACTCGCGAGATCTTGCATTTGAACGGAAAATCACCTATTACAAATATTACAATTAGTACAATGTACCATATCACTACAGTCTGGTGCAGAGCATAAAATTACAAAAAAAAATTAAAATTATAGCTATTTTTGAAAGTTTGAAATTGCATTTTTTTCTGAAAATTTAATATTTTTTTTAATTTTGTTCTCAAAATTCATTCATTTAGAATTTACAAAATAATTTTGTTGGTTTTGTTGACTTGAGAGTTTTCTAGGTTTATATCTAACTTAACAGTTTATGGGGGAGAGGACTTTTGCATACACCACCATTCACACAAATGTACTGACCTGTGTGACACCTCTGATGTTGACTCAACTGAGTTGCTGACACAGCACTATATTCGCACTGATCACAGCGAAAGTCACGGTGGATACTCTCTTTTTTACTTTCATTTTCTGAAATCTGCTCTTCTTTTACATATATTCCATCAGACGCTCTATCATCTGATGTATGAAAAAAAAACAGTTTTTGAATAACACTATTTTGTGCACAGAGACAACAATACTGAATACGAGAGTGAAACATTTAATTGTTTATGAATTTGGTCAAAACATTTCGTTTCATCTAAATTTCATTGAAATTACAAAAAGGAAAAAAAAAATCCTAGTAGTTAGCACAACACCCCATTAATTTATTATACCTTTGTATAACAAATCTAAAAAGAATATTTCCATTGATTTTTAGGTGGCGACAATAGCAACAAGGAGATTAGTTGAATGATTAGTGTAACAATCAAATGTAATGTCAAATGGATGTATTTAGAGGAAGGTTCAAATATATTTAGACAAGCCAATGAG